TTGGAAACGCACTTGATTAAAGAGACTGGCGCTGCCCCCCCCTCCACCCACCTACCGGGTTTAATCAAAGAGGACGTCACGCAATCTAGTTTAGCTGAGCGATTTTGGTCGTTTTTCAACAATATATGTATATGAGGTAAGTAAATGTTTGTCCTATTCTTCCATCATTGCTTGTACGATTTCTTTCGAAAAATAATAAGAAGAGAACTTTATTTAACGAGGGTAAAACATATTGATTACTTGTCACCTAGTATAGTTTTCCTAATGACCCTCCTACAATTAAAAGTAATAAAACGTAACGATCAAATTAATTAACTATCAGAATAATCTACCAACTAAATTTATATAATGAACGACTAATATGACGATATTAATTTTTTAACTTCGAATAAAACTAGAAGGTTTTACAAATCTTAAAATGATCAATAAAAGAATTCTTATTTCGGTAGAGTTTAAATAAGTAATTTTAAAAATTTGTATGGGAGCAGCAGACAGCAGATTAAATACTTCGAGAATTCGATCTTTTTCCCGTAGTTAAAAACTAAACAAACGATTATGTCTTCGTAGTGGCAATTATCTGAAAGAAAAAGCATTTTTATTGCGCGAAATTGAGGTGTAAACCTCTTGACAATACTTCCCGTACCTCTTGACAACACTCCCGTACCTTCCCTGTACCAACTTTTAGACGAAATACGAACATTTTGATGAATACTTTTCATATTTAGATAATTGGTACAAGCCAGGCTTCAAAGTAAACAAATGCGCAGGTACGGGAAGGGTTGTCAAGAGGTTTACAGCTCAATTTCACGCAATAAAAATACTTTTCCTTTCAGATAATTGCCACTACGAAGTCGTAATCGTTTGTTTAGTTTTTCAACTAGTGGAAAAGGATCGAATTCTCGAAGTATTTTTAAAAAGTGCTGTCCAAGTTCACTCTTGTACTGCTTGTATTCGTCATTGCAACCGCAAGTTCAAAAGTTGTAAATTTCATGCAAGTACCGTTGATATTTTCAGTTCTCAAACCTTGGTGTTTGAATTGTCCCCAAATTTTATTTCATAAATTAAAAGAAAAAGGATTGCTCTTTCACTGGAATAGCATTTGCACAACGAAAGCCATGTACCAGGAAGGGTTTTTTTGCCGTTGAAAAATGGCAAAATTGATAGTCGCGATGAAACTGTTTTAGAGGGTGATTTTGAAAAAAATAAAAATTCAGATTGGAATCTTTTGAAATTACAACAACGTTTTCGTACAAAGGAAGGGTCATAAAATCATCTTATACCGCAATAGTCATGGTATTTGATTTCGTTTCTTTTCACCACGCGAGGATGCGAAGCACATTTTTCGGAGGTTTAAGGGCCTTTCGGTGGTGAAAATTAAAAAAAAATTATTTTTTTGGAAAATATCAATCACAAGAAACTGAATCTTGCATTTTCTAAAATAGTTTCACAAGGGCTTTAGTGCGACAAAGTTTGGGAGATTTCGATTTTTCCATCTTGCACACCTATATCCGTGGTATTGACAGAAAGTCGCTCTTAGGAGAGCACAGTTTTAGAATAGCGTACTAACTGAGACATCGTGCTTCTGCTGAGATCAATAGTTTCATTCTCTCTCACAGGGAAGAGTTTGTTAGGTCGTAATTCATTAAGCTTCCAAAGCGGAATTGACCTTAAATATTTCCAAGAAGAGAGACAAGATTTAAAGTGAGAACAACATTTGAGTCTTTTCCTTTCCCACCCCCCTAGCTGAAAACATTTTACGAATTCTGGTATCTCGATTCGTGGGGACCCTAACAATGATGACATTTTCCTCCCTTTAAATAACAGTTTTACTAAGATTTTAAAAAAGCTGTGGGGTTTCTACAGCAGAGGTATTTCTAGTTCAAAATTCCCTCTGCAATAAGAAAAGAAAGGTATCTCCTCTATATTCTCAACTCATTAACCGTTACTCAATGTCATAGCTGCGTCCTACCCACAGGGACAAGAATTCGTAAAAATTAGGAGGAGCACTGAAAGGGAAGTATTGTACTTTTATTCTTCGTGAATTTATTTAATGATTTATTCATTCATTCTTTTTTTTTTGCGTCCGAGCATCTTTGAACAGAGGGAAAGAAACTGCAACGAAACAGTTCCTGAATCTAATTGTTGATTTGTAATACCAGCACTCTCTTTAGTTCAAGGTGAGAATTATTTTTTTTCTTGTCGATGTAGGCGTTACTTTAGCGAGCTAGTACTCAGTATTTTCTTGGTGAAAATTATAGCTGCCATCTTTTTACAGCAGTGAAAGAAATTTGTACCAGGGGGTGGGTGACAGTCAAAAGGAAGGTGAGGGGATGGGGTAGGGCAACAGAAATTATTATCCTATCTTTGATCGCTCGCCTCACCGTCCTTTCTCACTCTGTATCAAACCTGGCCAGTCGAAGAAACGACGACTTACTTTGACGAGATGCAAGGATTCGGGTAGAAGGAGGTAGACTTTGAGCGCAGTAAAGATAATTATAACATAACCAAAGTAAAGCGCGCGCTCTGATTGGTCAATTTAGCGTTCCCCATTTGCCCATGGGTGTACGCTGCTGACGTGAGCAAATGCAAAGACTATTTTTCCGCGCGCGCTTGTTTTTTCTGGTCGCGTAAGATTTGTTAAATAAACGGGAACTCTTTAGCTACAATGTATCAATGTTATGTTATAAAACAAATGGTAAACACCACAGCGTACACTATTGAGTTATGGATGCACTTGGGAGGTTTGCTAAGCACTCAAGAAGCTAGAGTCGCTCTCGGCTATCGCCTCGAGCGACTCTTACGCTTCTTTCGTGCTTAGCAACCTCCCGCGTGCATCCATAACTCAATAGTGTACGCTGTGGTGTTTACCATTTGTTAAAGAGAAAGTGACATATTTTGTTTTGTCACAAGCGTGGGACAAAGAATAATTCCGAGTTCTCAGGTGGAGTCGGACCTCAAACCTTCGGATTCCATCAGTGCGCTGAATCCAACGGTTTCAGAAATGTTTTTCACTTAGGTAGAATTGTCCAAGATCCACAGTGCTTGTATAAACTCCCTGAAATTACTTGTAAACAACAATGAATATCGTATAGCAGGAATGAAAGGGAGCCTTTCTCACCAACAGATTTCGAGGTCAAGATGCCCGAGAATGAAGAAATGAAACAACGTGTGACACCATGTCTTCTGTTTGGGCTCGTTTGCTTTTCTTTGGGAGGTATTTCCCTCACAGGGTATTTCGTGACTCCCCATTACGATCACGGCTCTAGTTTTGGTCATGATGAGCCTCACTATCAGTTTAGCGACAAAGAGGCTGCCTTACCATTTGGCATAGTCGTAATGTCGCTTGGATTTTTAGTCATTTTTGCTGTCGCTGTTTGTAAGTGTTGATATCGGCAGGAACGGATCTTTTTTCTTCTCGCTCACTGGAGATAAACCCAGTAAACTGTTGTGAAAACGATTGTGTCATCAACTTGTGACTGAATTTTTTTGTTTGTAGCTGATTGGCCAGCAAAACTAACCCTAACCTAATATGCATTACAAAAGTAGTTTGTGCGTTTAGCTGCATTGGTGCAGGTACCTTTGAATTTATTTCATCTCATAGCAAAGACCAGATCAAAACAAAGTCAGGTTACGAGATAACAACTTTAGTTCTGTGCTTGTTAACCCGAAAATGTTCTAAATAAAACATACACAATCCAAATATCTCCTCTTTGATTCTGAAATATTGTTCAAGATATTATAGAACGAGCAGATGCAGATCAACCAGCCGGAGCAAAAAAAAAAGGTCTCGATTTTTGTTTTCGCTGGTAAGTCACCAAGGGAGTCTCGATTTCGTGCGGTAGACCCAGTTTCCTTGGCTACCGCACAGCAAGCCGTTCGTGCATATCAAACGCGTGCGTTAATAACGGCCAACGGAATGTCGATTGTCAACAACATATGTCTTCCCCATTCCTCAGCAGGGGTAAAGGGAATTTTCTGTGTTGGAGTCGTTAGTTCCAAGACGTGTTTCGTATGATAATGATGATATCGGCCTGGATGCTTTATTCGAACAACTTTTCACTCAGCATTAGTAACACGGCCTAGTCGGTCCAGTCCTCTCCGCCCCACTTGTACTTGTAGTCCTTAGTGTTCATTCCTAAAGAAAATATGAATAATAATAATAATGATAATGTCGACCTGGTCTGGTCCAGAATCTTCTCTCTTTGCTCTCACGTGTGCATCTAAGTCGTTTTACTCGAGTAAAACTGCTTGTAGTTGTGAATAACAATCTTGAGAGGTTTAGTCTTCTTCTTTTGTAGTTTTCCTGTATATCGATTATTGCATGATTCAATTGAATGCTCGCAATTATGCTTGAAATAAGCGCAAGCACGACACAGCTCAACACTCGTGTGTACGCCATGTTGGAAACGCACTTGATAAAAGAGACTGGCGCTGACATCTGACGTCAGCGTTTTCACAGCGTTTACGAAAATGTACATTTACGGCCGTCTACACGAAGACGCATAAACGGCGTTTTCAAATTATCCACTTTGAAGAGCGTTTTCGAATTTATGCGTTTACGGTGAGCGTTTTCATCGTCTTCGTGTGGACGGAAGGCCTAAACGCATAAAAAAGTTTGCGTTTACTAGCGTTTGCGTTTACAATCGTCTTCGTGTGGACCGGGCCTAAAACATCTAGGAATTATATTGTCACTATAAATAATTCATATTGGTTCTGGCAACTACTGAAAGATCTTCATTACTTTTATAACACAACTACAAGTAAGCTTGAACTCTCTCTTCAAGTTACATTTAAAATTACTGCCAGCCATTTTAAATCTTGGTAATTTCTGCAAGATGTCAAGTCACGTGACCACATTAACTGGTACTTCGCCGAGCTATTCGAGCTTTTATTTTTCTCGCTTGTGATATAATTTAAGGACAAAGTCAAAGAGACACTTTTACCTGCTCTAAAATTCGTCTTATTCCCTCTCTTGGTGCATCAGGATATGCAGGATCCACTGACAGTAGCTTCATCACTCTTACTTCTCCGTTGGGACATTCTGAGTAAACGTCTGTAAAGGTCCCACCTCGATCGATAGCGAACCTAAACTTGTCACGATTCTCACCGGGCGAATCTTGATGGTTTGACATTCTTTAAATTCAAATGAACTAGAAAGTTATCGTCTGAAACCAGTAATACCGCCTGAGTTTTTGTACTTTAAGCACCACATGACCAGTCTCTCGTGAAACTAGCAAAACACTGGCAAGAGATTCGTTATTTATCCGTTCGTCCTGCGAGACCTCAACACGTGTATCAGGACCTGGTGATATTACGTCAGAGCGCGTGACACCCACGAGATAACACAACAGATGTTTATGTTGGCGGAGTTTTCGAGGATTTCATTTATTGAAATCAAAAGGTTCATTTCATTATAGCCTTTACTGGTTAGCACAAAAAC